TTCTAAACGGACGGTAGCGACGATTCAGAGATGGGGTGTTGCGTCCGCTGCCTACGATTATGGCAACGTGCACCGTCCATCCACACCCATACCTCAAGTCGATTTGCTCTCCAGGTGTTTTGGGTGTCAGACGTCCAAGAAATGTCATTTCATTGCTCCAACAGCTTCTGTGTTACACAAGTTCACAAAACGGTGCTATGCATACATCAAGACAGCATTATCGACAGGTTGGCGCCCAGACCTGAAGAAGAGATTCCTATCTTATTACATCCACCTGGAAGAAATCGGTGTGCAACCTGAAACAGTATACTACCGCTATGACTACTTGATCGCTCCAACTCCGTTTTATCAGAAGACCTACACAAGGGCCACTTCGGGGTGGAGATGAAGTCGTTGGTGGTATGGCCTGGACGAAGATATCGCAGGAACGGATAAAATTTCGCATGCAAAAGTTAGGAACGAATAACTGGAAACCATGCCTACAGAGCTGCACCCCATTGAAACGTGTACATGCCGACTTCTGTGGGCCGTTTCTCGATCATTATTATTCATCTTCAAAGTGTCACGAGGTGTTTTTATAGGTACGCCGACTACAAAACTGTTCAAAACGCGGAGTTTGCTACCCTTGCTGCGATGACTGACTTTTTTCTCTGGACACACTTTGATTGTACAATATGACACTTCGAACAAGCGTTTGGACCATGTTTTCTACATGTGTTGTCCGAGTTAACAACTTTCTCCAACCGGCGTAATCAATGGAGGTCGACTACTTGCTCCGGTAGACGACCACGATTGCCCAAAACTCTACGCCTAACTTCAGCATTGCTCTTCCGGTTACTCCACCAGGCTCGTGTGATGTGGCGTAGACAGCGGTGTTCGAACACTGACAATCTATCTTGTTTCTGTTCCAGCAAAGGCTAAGACCCTGCACCGTATAGCAGCTGCAGCAGTTCGGCCCTTAACGTAGAAGGTAACTTAGCTTTGGTCGATCGTACAAAACGCAAGCGGGGAACAATAGGCTGAGTAATTCCGTTGCATTTTCACGATACCTTCGTAGGAATAGGAGACAAAGAGTTCAACCTTACACAATTTTTATACTGGAAAAAGGACTCGTCGAGGCCCTGTTACTTTTTCTCTTCTTGTCCCAAAAGAGAATAGCGACAAAGACGCAATTTCAGTCGTGGCGGATCTGAAAACCGAAGGGGGTGGCGTTTCTTATCAGGCCAATGCTTGAGGGAGTACGCAAAGCTGGGTAGCACTTTTGTCGTCGAGTAAAGAAGTTGACTCCCTTCCTCAGAAATGGTCTACTCCACAACCATAGGCCTTGCTCTTTCATGCAGTGGCATTCGGTTACCGTACTTAGACAGTCCTTTTAGATGAAAGGGTAGAGAAAGGAATTAAATTAGTGGAAGCAGTACCAAGGAGAGGATTTACATTTACTGTTTGTGGGGAAAAAATCATGGACCATGACATAGGTTTTTATTATTTCCAAGACTATTGGTGTTTCATCTTGAACTTCAGTTTGTAAGAGTGGGAGTGAACTATCCAATATGTAATTTTTCGACGAGAAATCATCTGGACGATAACGGAACGACTACATCTTTTCCCATCAAGCTTTAGCCAAAATCTGCAGTCTTATAGCCTTAACCCACATTCCTTTAGCCAAAACCCGTAATCCTCGTTTCGTCTTCTCTGAAGAAACTCCCAACATTGTTTGCGAATGTGTCTTGTGTGGGAATCGGTGCTGTATTTGAACAGACCGGACATCCGATCGTCTGCATTTCCCTCCTACTGAATACCGCAGAACGAGGATATATTCAGGCGCAGAAGGATGCGTTGACCGTGCAATGGGCTATCCGGTTGCTGTGGCCGTTAGGGTTGCGTTTCACCATTGGGACTAAACACCAAGCTCTGCAATACCTATTCAATTCGAACAAATCGATTTCTAAACGGACGGTAGCGACGATTCAGAGATGGGGTGTTGCGT